GCCGCCGCCGCCGCCCTGGGCGCCGCCCCTGCACCGCGGGCTGCTGCACCGCAGGGCCGACGCCAACCACATGAGCGTCAAGAGGCTGCGCTGGGAGCAGGTGGAGAACTCGGAAGGGACCATCTGGGGACAGGTACAGGCCATGGGGACAGGGGCCAAGCGGCTCTGTGCTTGACAGCGGCTGGGAGGCACCTGCTGCGCGGGCAGGAGGAGCACCCATGGGGAGACCCTTCTCGCCCGGGCCTTGCGCGGGTCTGTCCTTTCTTCCCAGGCAGCATCAGGTCTTAACTGCTCATTAGGCCACAAAGTCAATATCTTGGCCAAGGGGCAGAACTCTGAAGATGCTGTGTTACAGAAAACCTCATATTTTTTTGCATCCTTTTCATTGCTTGGTGAAACGGAAGGATGAGAAGAGAGGTTGTGGAGTCTCCTTCTCTGGAGATCTTCCAAACCCGCTTGGACACAGTCCTGTGCCACGTGCTCTAGGTGACCCTGTGTGCAGGGGGTTGGACTAGATGACCTCTAGAGGTCCCTTCCAGCCTTAATGATTCCATGATTCTCTGCTCACTGGTGACTGTAGCTAGAAATCCTCAGGAATGGTATCTGTTCCCGAGTGTCCTGGGGCCTGTTTGCTTTCCCTGTCTCCGTGGTTTGACCTAGCCAGGAGCTGCCTTCAGACTCACTTGGCAGCTGTAGGAGATCTTATCAGGAGGGAACTGTGAACCCATCTGGAAGCAGAGGAGTGACGGAGAGAGCACCAAGGCAGGGGGAGAGCCCTGGGAGGGCAGAACAGGCTGGATGCGAAGCTGGATGTGCCAATTCTTTGGCATCACCAAGTGATGCAGAAATCTTGAGGTGGATTTAAGTCATTGTGGGAAGATGACCTCAGTGAGATTTAAATCCCAGCCTCTGTGCTCCTTGTAACAAAGAGCATGTTTAGACGTGCCATATTCTCCATGCCCTAAACAGCTGGCTGCCAGCTGGAGGAACATCTCCTAGCCCCACAAGTCCTATCCTTGTGGCAGGCACTTAGGTGCCGCATCTGAGTGCAGGGCCTCTTCCCTTAGCAGGGCAGAGAACAAGATGCTTCTTCCCAGCCTTTCTGCAGATTTTTGGTGAAAATTCCTGAAGTTTCTGGAATTCTCATTTTGTGCTTTAGTAAAGCAATCCTGCCCAAGCAGCATGTGAACAGCAGCATTATTTTGCAGAATTTCAGCTCTGTGTTGCAAGCTAAATTAATCCAAGGGGGCACTGATGCCAGCTGCAGAGATAAAAGGAAATGCTGAAAGGATGAATCTCTGGGTTTCTCCCTTTCTTCTGAAGAGAGAATGGGTCCCATGGGATGTGCTTAGCAACTAATGTAAAATCTGTCTCCATAAGAGGCAAATGATTCACCAGACTCTGGTTTCTGCAAGGGATTTATAATGGCTGAATCTCCGGTGGAGAGGGGAATGCCATCCATGTGTCCTGGGTTTTACGGGACACAAAGCATAGAGTGGTGGTGGGAATGCAGCCGGCAACAGGAGGACAAGACACGGCTCCCCCGGGCACCACGGTACTGACTCTTTCTCCTCCCGCAGCTTGGAGAAGACTCGGATTATGACAAGCTGAGTGACATGGTCAAATACCTGGACCTGGAGCTGCACTTTGGAACGCAGAAGCCCACAAGTAAGCACACAAATGCCACACGTTGCGACTAGGAGAGATAAGGGGAACTAAGAGAAACTAAAGAAAACTATTAATAAAATAATGTCTAGGTCTAGCACCACAGTCAGCACAGAATTCGTACTCAGTATTTTGTGACTGATGGCACTGCAGATTATTAAGGTGGAGATAATTTTACCGTCTCCCTTAATTTTCTCTGTTGCCACTGTGCGTTTTCTTTGTGCATTTCAGCCAATCTGGGCAGTGAAACTCAGCTGGCTGGTTTCGCTCCCTGGGATGCTCAGTTCTGCTTCCCGGCCCTCATCGCTCAGCCTGGGGCTCACACTGCTGTGTCTAGCCATGCTCATACTGCATGGGAAAGCTCAGCTGCCAAAAACGCTGTTCATTGCCACAAAGGGCCTGTTTTTCAATAGAACAGGAACTTAGACCTGCACCACAGATTGCAGCAATTTGTCTACTGTTATTATTGTGCTTGTATGTTAGGTTAAGTGCACCAAGGACTCCTCAGCTGGGCACCTAACTGCTATTTGTAATGCACAGATACCTGGTCGTGCTGAAAGCAACAGTAGCTAGCTGCAAATTAAGGAAAAAATGCAGCTCTGTTGCCTTCAGATCTAAGGCCTGAAAAAAAAACATCTCTGTCCATTGAGGGCCTTGCAAGTAACACTCTGCCTGTGACACATATAGGATTTTTCCCCCAAGACCTTCATGTGAGGCCCCGTGCTAGCTGTCAGCACAGCCAGCGCATCCTCCGGCCAGGAGTGCGCGGGGTA